AAAGTTTCGTCCATTAATTGCCTTAAAAATCTCGTATGCATAGATATCAAAACCAAATGTTTGATACTCAAAGTCATGATTTTATGGATTTTTCTATTATTTTGATAGACATATCTTCACGAAATAATAGAAATCAAATTTGATCTTTTCTTGTATTCGGAAAAAATAGATTTTTAAGTCAAATGACTTGTATGTTGGACCTTAGAATAGAATAAGCCCTTCCACTGGAGGAGAGGAGTAGCAATTCATTCCTACGAACAATAAGATTTTATCCGAAATATCGACAGATTCTTGCAGAGTTAGAACCAAAAAGGTATTAAAAAGAAAAAAAGATTCACCGTTCAAATTTCATTTCTATCCAATTTGAATATCAGAATAGTGGATATAGTTATGATTCAATAGCTTAGGTCCACTTACTTTTTTTTAGAATCTTTTCCTTTTTTGATTCAAGAAAATATCATATTCTAAAATATATATATATATATATATATATATATATATATATATATATATATATATATATATATATATATATATATATATATATATATATATATATATATATATATATATATATATATATATATATATATATATATATATATATATATATATATATATATATATATATATATATATATATATATAGAAAAGAATACCATTTTACTTTCTAACTCGAATGAGTTTACTCTATTCGAATGATAACAAGAACTTAATAGAGTTGAAATTCGATTTTTTAATGAAATTCAACTATTAATTAGTTTTTTTTATTACAAACAGAAACTTCTTACAAATATCAAGAATATTTCTATATCTTCCTTCAAATAGGAATACTACTGTTATCATTTTTTGATACAAAAAGCCCCTTATCGGATTTGAACCGATGACTTACGCCTTACCATGGCGTTACTCTACCACTGAGTTAAAAGGGCGGCGTTTGAGTAAATTCCCCAATACGGAATCAGCCAATATGAAGATGAGTTTAGTACATCTATTTGTTACTGCATATACTTATTCTATATCTATTATTATAGATAGATATACAAAATAGATATATACAAAATTGGTATATCAATCTGACGAAATAGATATATATATATATATCTAAATCTGATTTAGATATATGTACATTTAGATATATGTACATTTAGATATATGTACATTTAGATGTATGTACATAGATCCATTTTTTGTACATAGCAACTCATTAACGAACAAAAAATTGGATTTAATAGTGAAAAAAGAATTAATTCATATTGGATTTGATAAATAGGTATGAAATTTTTCAAAATCGATTTGAATTGAAGTCATCTTCATCATAACACGAAATTCATTTCATTGATACATGGACCCCTAATTCTAATATTTCCGAATCTTTGATAAATGGATTATATCCTGTCCCTCAACTCAATTCTTATTGATCTTCATCCTTTTTTACTCAATTTCCGGATTCATTCGCATTTTTGTATTTCCCAACTTAGTGTGAAATACAAATATACCCAATTTCATCTTCTTAACACTGAATGAAAGTGAAAGAAATAAGGTGTTAATGCCCACCTGTTCCAACAAATCAATTCTTTCCACAAAGTCTTCTATGTTTATTTTGGTTTCTTTCGCATTACTTCGTTTTATTTTCTATTTTGTTGAATTCTATAGATTGGTGATTGGAATGAACAATTTAGAAATCAAAAGGATGAATCAAAAAATTGTAAGGAATTCTGAAAGATGGGAAGATCCTTTTGATCGAATCATATCATTCCATTATATTGACAATTTCAAAAAACTGTTCATACTATGAACATAGTAGAATGGAAATCGGGCAAGGAGGCCCCCATCATCTAGCGGTTTAGGACATCTCTCTTTCAAGGAGGCAACGGGGATTCGACTTCCCCTGGGGGTAGGGTACTACGAAAGGAAATGGATGAGGGATTATCAAGAAAGACTAAAATGAATTCTTCCTGGGTCGATGCCCGAGCGGTTAATGGGGACGGACTGTAAATTCGTTGGCAATATGTCTACGCTGGTTCAAATCCAGCTCGGCCCAAAAATATTTCTGGATCCACCATGAAATGATATAACCCATTTGGTGTTCTCTAAAAATCACCAATGGGTTCGCATACATAAGATTATAATCTTGAGTCCTATGTCTTTTTTCCAGATTACTTACATATTTTTTTCCACAAATTCGGATTTTGCAAAACACCTATTGGGATCTGTAAGTATAAAGTCGAAGGAAAGGGTTCAAGTCAAAAAAGAAAAAAATAGTCTTTTTTGTTTCCTTGATTGATTTTTTAATCAAGTTGGCAATAACGAACGGATTGCGAGTCATCTGTGTCGCTAAAGCGCAGACCCATAAAAATATGAATATATATATATATAGAAGTCCGCCTTTAAAAGAGGCGTTCTCGAATCTCAAATAGAAAAACAAAGAGTTAGAATGAAATTGTAAGAATATGTGTGTATACTAGACGACTTTTTCCCTGGGATTGTAGTTCAATTGGTCAGAGCACCGCCCTGTCAAGGCGGAAGCTGCAGGTTCGAGTCCCGTCAGTCCCGATGGATACAAATCCAAAAAATATCAATTGATTTCGTGTATGATAAGGGAATAAAACTAAAAAAATATAATTTCAAACAGGTATCCCCCTTTTTCTTTCTTTTTTAGTTTAAGGGAAAGGTTCGGACAAAGAAAGAAAAAGGACTTTTTGATTGCATCAGCTAGTCATTTTCTTATTTGGTTTGGTATGGATAAAACATCTTCCGATGTTATACTATGAAATTCTCGACCATGAATTATTGATTTGATAGCTCAGATATTGTTATTCGTGATATTGATCCGATTTGATATCATCGAGATCCAATTTATCCCATTGAATTTAGTGACGAAAGATTTTTCATTTCTATGGGATTAAATCCCGAAGTATTTATTAGAAATTAAAGAGAAATAAAACATAGAGATTATGGAAGTAAATATTCTCGCATTTATAGCTACTGCACTCTTCATTTTAGTTCCTACTGCCTTTTTACTTATAACTTATGTAAAAACGGTAAGTCAAAGTGACTAAATTTTACTGAAACATGACTTCTTATTTCTTATCAATGCAATGATTGAAGAAAAAAATGAAAAAAGAATTTCTATTTCGGGTCTTTTGTTTTTTAAGAAAATGATCAGACTACAACCAGCAGAATTCTATTAAATCCTAGTATAGTAGAAAGAAATCAAATCTATTTCTTTCTACTATATTATCTATTACAGTAGAACTAGAATGTTTTACTAAAAAAAAGAGGTTTAATATGGAGGAACCAATCTAGAATTTTGTTTTCATATGGATAGATGGATATCTATCTATAGATATGGAATGTCAATTCCATGGCGTCCACATTTTTCTTGATTTCATCTAAATCTATTCTATTTGTATTGGTTCCGATCAATCTGAATAAAAAAATGAAAATAACAAGAATAAAAAATATTCATTGAAATGTTTAAAAAAAATTTCAGCTAATTACATAATATAAAGATGGGGTTACCGGATGTATGCGTGCATAATACTGACGCCTAATTCTTTATGACGGAAAATCTCTTCCATGTCCTCATGTCCAATTATTTCGGTGCAAGGAAAACCAAAGATACCTTGATTCATATCCATTTGAAGAATACCACCATCCATCAAATCTGTTGTTCCCACTATTGTTTCAAGACACTGCCGGTATCGAGGGAAAAATCTAGTAGGAACCATTTTCTTGGGTGGTACGTCAACGATTTTCTGGCTCACTTGTTGTGACCCTTGAAAAGGTACCTAAAAATCATATAGACTCAGTTAAATTATAAAATTATGCAGTTTTTTATTCAGATCATATAATTAACACTTTAAACGTACCTCTTTTGTGATACATCAGACTCGTCGTGCCGCAAAATCCCTTTATCCTTAGATGCGGGTTTTGTAGGAGTCTATAATTACCATGGAAATAACTGAGGTCAGAACTGACAGTTGAAGACTTAAAGATTCATAATGGTTTTCAACATACCTGATCATCTATGAAAATGAGGTTCGATGGCCATGCAACAAAAGATCCTATTGCATCTCGCAGCAATGTGGTCTTAGCAACAATGTCAGGTACCGGCAACAACGCATCCATATCTAAAGCAATATCAACTGATACTTTCATGTGTCCATCCGGAAGCGGTCTAGTCCTGCTTCAATTCAGAATATTCTAACAGAAAAACCAGAAAAAAACCACATGTCCAATGTCATCACAAAATCAATTTGATCCATAGTTCATGGGGTAAAACCAGAAAAGCTCAACATTATTTACCCGTGGCAGACTTGTACTAATGATAGCCGAAAAGTTATTTAATAAACACAAAGAATACAGTCAGTCGACCGTTAACCTTCATTACCAGATCAACCCATCTACAAAAAATTAGTTCTGATTCATCAACTAACAAGGAGCCAGATATCCAATCATCATCAAAAACCAGTTTTACACAATTCACATAAATCCCATAAGCCTCGTGACTATTAATGCAAAAAAAATTAAAGACACATCACTAAAATTCAAAGAGGCATTGTCATGAGTTAGAAAGGAGAGAAGCCTTTCTATGTTGGTTCTTCGTGTGACCATGGCTCTGTAGAAAACTCGTAGTTTGTGACGTGATCGCAATGAGGTGTTTCACTTTATTGGAAACTACTTGATAGTAGCAATCTCCGAAGGCTGCTTCCTAATGACAGGTTTCAAACCAAGCCAGGAGTTGAGTCTCAGAAATTCTCAAGGGAGTTCATTCATTTGGTCTGTCTTCCTGATGCGGGGAGTGTTGGTTTCTCAGAAATTCTCTTCGTCAATCTTCAAATTCTCACCTTCATCTTCTCTCCGCTTTCTCTCCATAACCTTCATTCTTCAGACTTCAGAAGAATCACCAAAAATACTTCAATCTTCTCTCTATGAAATCTCTAAAGCTCTCTGCATATTCAATCTTCATTATCTCTGAGCCTCTTCAACAATCTTCAATAATCCGCAACAATCATCATCAACATCGTTAAGCAATCATCATTATCATCTGCTTCAAACATCGACAACAACACCACAATAGAAACAAAATCATAGAAGAAATTTAAAAGTAGAGATGAAGTGAATCGAAGAAGTTTTATCGTTTGAAGGAGCACCAGACTCTTTCCGGTAGGTAAACGACGTCGAACTTTATCGTTTATCCGTTTTTCTGCATCTTGATGTGTGTTAAGTGAGAAGGACCAAGATTGCGAAGTTGATGGCGAACGCGTGGAGAGGTTGAAATCGTGACTGGGACGTTGAAAGAGGTTACGACGAATCAATACGGTGGTCGCTGGTAGGTTGAGATCAAAGAGGCAATTCCACGAATGATTCCAAGTGAGATAAAGAGGAGTATATGAGGTCAAGACATGACTGTGAGTTAGATGATACGTTTTACGGCCATTTTCGGACTCAAACCACCACGGGTGTCGGTGTCGCGGTGGCTGAGATTTTTTAACCTTTGAAGATGATGAAACAACAAATAAAGGGAATAGATAAAGACTGTGAACCCTAAGCCTTTCTCCAAACGCAATGTTTCGTTGTTTCTAGCCACTTTATTCTCATATATTTAATAATCTGGATTATGTTAATTCGTTTGGGATTTCAAAAAGCGATTTCGTAGCATATCCTATAGCAGCGCTTTTAAAAGCGCTTTCTAAAGGCCAGCTTTAGCAGCGCTTTGAAAAAGCGCTTTCTAAGGCTGACCTTTAGTAGCGCTTTTGAAAAGCGCTTTCTTAAGGTACCCTCTGAAAGGCCAGCTTTAGCAGCGCTTCCCAAAAAGCGCTTTCTAAGGGTGGCCTTTAGAAGCGCTTTTGAAAAGCGCTTTCTTAAGGCACCCTTTGAAAGCGTTTTTTTAAGCGGATTTTTTTTAAAACCTACAGCAGCGCTTTTTTCCAAAAGCGCTTTCTTTTATGTGCTGCTAAAACTTATTTTTGGCGTAGTGGATATTATTAAAACATAAAACAATTGACAAGACTGTTCGAGAAAGAATTAATAGAGAAAGAGAGCAATGGAGAAATTTATTACTTAGAATCATTGTCGTTGTTAAAACTCTTGAAAAAATAACTTAGCATTTCGTAGAACAAACGAAAAGATTTACCAAGAAAGTAATGGAAATTTTTTATGTCTAATTGAAATGATTGCAGAATTTGATCTTCTAATGCAAGAGCACATTCGTCGAATAAAAAATGATGAAATTCATAACCATTATCTTGGACATAGAATACAAAATGAATTAATAGATTTACTAGCAAATGAAATAAAAAAAATTATAAAAAAAAGTTGTGGAATCAAAATATTTTTCAATCACACTTGATTGTACTAATGATATAAGTCATCAAAAACAAATGTCTATTGTATTATGACGTGTAGATTTTTCTTCAACTCCGATACAAGTAGTTGAGTATTTTTTATAGAATTTTTAGTAGTAGATGATAAAACTGGTAAAGGTCTTTTTGATGCTATTATGAATGAACTAAATATACTTGATCTTGATATTATTAACTTAAGAGGACAATGTTATGATAATGGTTCTAATATTAAAGGAAAATAACAAGGTATTCAAAAAAGATTTTTAGATGTTAATCCTAGATCGTTTTATACACCATATGGTTGTCATAGTCTAAACTTGGTACTTTGTGATATGGCAAATTGTTGTTCCAAAGCTAAATCATTTTTTGGAGTAGTGCAACATATTTACCAATATTTTCTTCTTCTACAAAAAGATGGAAAACTTTACTAGACCATATACCTAGTCTTACTTTGAAATCATTGTCACAAACACGTTGGGAAAATCATATGGAAAGTGTAAAAGTTATAAGATTCCAAACTTCACAAATAAGAGATACTTTATTTAAATTAGGTGAAATGAATGATGAACCTAAAATAAAAAGTGAAGTTGAACGTTTGGCAACTTATGAGCTTGAAAATTTTGAACTTTTGCTAGGCATGACTATTTGGTATGAAATATTGTTCGCTGTAAACTCAGTTAGTAAACACTTTCAATCAAAAGATATAAGCATCGATGTTGCTATAGAGCAATTGAAAGGACTTATTTCTTTTTTCGAAAAATATAGGAGATGGTTTTGAAAATGCCATAATTTTGGCTAAAGAAATTGCTATCGAAATGGATATAGAACCTAAGTTTCGTGAAAACACGTATTATTCGTAGAAAGAGACAATTTGGTGAGATTATTAACGATGAAGTTTTAGAAACTCTTGAAAAAATCATTTAAATCTGACTATTTTTTGTACATATTAGATCATGCAATTACATCATTTCGAAGTAGGTTTGAACAATTTAAAAGATATCAAAATATTTTTGGTTTTCTATTTAGTAAAGAGAAATTAAGATCATTGGAAATTGAAAATTTAAAAGAATATTGTATTAACCTCGAATATTCGTTAAAACATAACGACAACTCTGATATTGATGGATTAGACTTATTTTTAGAATTGAAAATATTAAGAGAAATCATACATGTTGAGAATGATATACCAATTGATATACTTATCTATGTAATAAGACTGAACTATTTTCCAAATGCATTTGTTGCTTATAGAATAATGTTACGATTCCTGTAACTATTGCTTCAGCGGAAAGAAGTTTTTCAAAACTAAAATTAATAAAATCTTATCTAAGGTCAACAATGTCTCGACATAGATTAAATGGATTAGCTTTATTATCGATTGAAAAAGAAATGTTAAATGAAATTGATTATAATAATTTAATAAATAATTTTGCATCTCAAAAAGCTCGAAAAGTCAATTTTAAATAAATATTATAATAATTTAATTTAATTTTTTATTAGAAAATTAGAGGCCTCAATTTAAAGTTTGTTTTAAGCCCCGTTGAGTGTGGGGTCGTCCCTGGTCCATTTATTAAGTATTTTGTTCACTTAGTTGTAATGATTTCTACATGTAGCTCCATCACGGGGAGGATCAAATGAACAATGCTCATTACACTAATAAACAATTTTACCCCAATATGAATCACTTTTTTGGTTTTTCCCAACAACACTGTTTGTTCTATATTTAATCCACCACTAATTAGAACCAAATTTTGATCAGTGGTTCATTTGAGGCTTTTCCGACGAACAGGAGTTGAATCCTCTGCATTTGGAGTGGCTTCATGACCACCGTTCATGCCACCAAGAGCTATTTCTGTAGAAAAATCAGAAAATTCATCAAGTCCAACATTAGGAACATTTTCATTTTCTATTGGAGTTGAAGAATAATAAGGTGGTGCTTGAGATGAATATGACATCATAGATCCATAATATGGACGATAGTTTGGATTAGATGACAGCGTTATAAAATTTGGTATATTTTGGGAACCTGTTGGTTGGAAGATTGATTTTGAAATATATAGTTGGGATTAGGGTAATTGAAACGATAATTAGTAGAATTTTGGATGTTAAGAGGGTTATTGTTGGGATTCATTTCACTAAAATATTGTTCAGAGCTACAAACAATAATTTATTGGAGGCTAAATAGAAAAATTAGAGAGAAAAAATACTTTTTTTTCTTTGTCCAAATCAAATGAATTAGTGCTCTATTTATAGACGAAAAAGTGATTAATTTTGGTGAAAATAAAAATAAATAAAAAATTGATTTTCTATAAAATAATTTACTCCAAATAATTTAGATAAGATAAAAATATAAACAATCACAACAATTAATTATATTTTACAAAGTATTATAAGTGACATCCACTCATTTTTTATTCAACGTGTTGAATATTTTCAACACAAATTAATTTATGTCACATTCAATACCTTATTCAATAATCTATTAAAACAATTTAACATTGAAAAATTTATTCAACACCCTTATTACAACTAGTCTTAAGAGGTTAAGGTTTCTTGAAACTCACGAAATAATTATTTCTCCGTGGTGTCACTGAATGGATTCTTATGGAAAAAATCCTAAAAATATTGATTCTTACACACCAAAGTATAGCTTCACTTTTCAAAGCTATTCCAGCCTAAACATGCACTTCACACCTACGCTGATACATCACTAGGTTTTATCATTACTATTAATATGTCTCAAAAAAGAAATGAAAAGACTTTTGTAGGTGTTAATGCCGGAACTATTGTGAATTTATTTAAATAAAACTAAAAAATTTAATTCTGTAGATACTTCAATTTTGTTTTATTTATTATAGTTCCTCCATTTTAAAATAACTGTCACATTTAAAACAAAATTATTTTAAAATATTTGTTATTTTAAATTATCAATACAATTTTATATTTAATTTTTTAATTATACTCTCTAATAAATATTATTAATTTATTATTTTCTCACTTAACATTAATATTAATTTGAATACACCAATATTCAATCAGGATAATTTGATAAAATAGTTATTCTCTATTTCATTTATTATTATTATTTACTTTATGTGAAATAATCAATTATGATACATAATATAGAATGGAGAAAATATATTTTAAATTCAAACGGTCTTGATCTTTTCTTATATATTTACATTAAAATTAATAAAGTGTTTATTTTTTAGTGATTTATAAATTATGCACATGAATCTTTAAATTTTTGTGAAAGTTAATATATGAAAATTTGTTACATGTCATATAAAAAGGAGCATATAATCAATTTTCAAGTGTAAAAATATAAGAAAAAATTAATATTATTTGAATTTTAAATAGAGAGATTAATTTTTGAATTTAAAATAATTTAAATTTAAAATAAAGAATCAGTTAAAATAGTGAGATCAAGACGTAATTAAATAATAACAGTAATCATCCCTCTCAACAGTTATCATCCAACCAGTTATCATGTAACCAGTTATCATCCCTCTCAACACTGACCCGACCATGGCACCGTTGCTCGCTACTATCAATTAGACCAACGCCCTTATTCTACAACAGAATCAAAGGATATAGGCCTGAGAGAACAAGCAGTCAAGATCTTCTCCTCAGAGAATCCGACGACGAAGCTCCTCCCAGTATATCACCACCTAGGTGTGGCCTTCCACCAAGAAAGGAGAGGTGCGACGTTCCTTTCTTCAAGAAACGCAACCGTAAACCTCCTGCAAAAGATCAAGATTCCCCTTCATCCAAGAAGAGGAAAGACAACTGTCAAATCGACCGTGCTCGATTGTCTTCGCCCGAACCAAGACAGAAACAGAGGAGTCCTTCTCCCTGACGAGACTGCGACGAACGACGAGGCGAAAATTATCACTCCCCTTCTCCATCCCCCATAGATAGTGAAGACGGCGAGCCTTGTGTCCCGTTATCAAGGGAAATCACATAATACCCACTCCCCGTCTGCCTGGAGAAGCCACATCCGTTGGGAACCTACGACGGAACAACAGATCCTGTCGAGCATATCAAGAACATTAACGCTCTCCTCGACTACCAAGGAGTCAGAGGGGTCATCAAATGTAGATTATTCCCAACCACTCTCAGGAAGGGGGCGATGTCTTGGTACAAGAGTCTCCCGGACGAATTCATCACCTCCTAGAAGCAGCTCAAGAGGATATTTTTTAGGCACTTTACCGCCTCTCGTTGACACCTAAAATCGGAGGCTTCGCTCGAAGCAATCATCCAGGGCAGAGACGAGTCTCTGCGGGCATACATTGAACGCTTCAACAAGGAAGCAGTTTGGGTCTCAATGACCGACAACATGAAGAAATATCTCCTCGAGCGCGGGCTCCGCCCCCGCAGTTACTTTGCCAAAGCTGTGGGCATTGAGACATCGGCCACACTCGACTCCCTCCTCCTCAAGGCCCAGGCATACATCCAATACGAGGAGAAGGAAACGACCAACAACGCCAGGGAATCAAGGCACAAAGAGAGTGCCAAATCCTTGAAGAATGACGAGTCCTCGACATCCCGTCAGGGATAAAAGAAACGGGAAGACAAGTCCCACGATTCCAAGGACTACAAGGGGCCAGCCGGTCGTTTCTACGAATACACCCCTCTGACTACCTCAAGGGAGCGTATTTTTTCTAAATGCGCCAATTCTGAATTTAAGCAAGCCGGCATGCGCTTCCCTCGACAAACACTGTCCAAATCGGGAACCGATAAGAGCAAATATTGCAGGTTCCATAAAAGTCACATGCATAACACAAAGGATTGCATTCATCTCAAAGATGCAATCGAAATACTGATTAGAGACGGGCACCTCAAACAATACAAAAAAAAGGAGGGTGCCCGTGAAGAAGCACCAGAAACCAAAAACGTCGAGGAAGGGAAGAAGTCCCCCGACATCGACATCATTCTGGTCGCCATGAGCATCTCGCGGCCAGAATATTTCTATTACCCAGACATGGAGAACGTCCCCATGTACTTCTCCTCCCACAATCCTTGGAATCTTTCCCCGCAGCCATGGTCATCTCCGGCGAAGGATTCAATAGGCACACATTGGCTTGGTAAAAAGAAGATTCAACCAGCTTATAAAGGCCAACTCGGGTATGGACGCCACGCTCGACAAATTCCGAAGAGGTTCTCATCCCCTCACCTTCTACAGGGAGGAACTACTGAGCGGAGCCCCAAATTCGACCATCCCACTACTCGTGAGAGCTCACATGGCGAGTTTTGACGTGCGACACATATTGGTCGATCAAGGCAGCTAGGTGGACATCATACACGCCCAATTGTTCACCACTTTGCAGCTGAATGAATGCCATCTGACCCCGTACGTGGGATCAGATCTCTAGGGCTTCAATAGAGCCAGCACGAAACCCTGGGGATATATCGAGCTGATTGTTACCTTTGGGAGAGGGGTAACAACTAGAGCCATCAAGACCTAATTCCTGGTGGTAGATTGCCCGTCTCTCTACCAGTGCATCTTCGGGAGACCCACTCTCGTTGAACTCATCGCAGTTCCCTCCACCGTGCATCTCAAAATGAAGTACTACACCGTCGAAGGCTTGGTCGCCACTATTCACGGGAACATCTAAGTAGCAAGAAGGTGCTTTGAAACTTCATCCAAGGGCCTCAGTTCCATCAGCTTTCTACCTAGAACGACCACTAGAGCCACATTATCTTCCAGCTTCGAGGAAGTCAAGCCGCTCCCGAGGGTCGACACCATTGATCTCGACATCCGCTTCTCCAAGGAAGATCGTTTTGAGCAAAGAAGGAAGAGAAAAAAGCCCATGGTCGAAGGTGGAGGTTCAACCCCCTCTGCAGATCGTTATGAACTCTCGATTCATGCACAGCCAATCCCGGATGGCAACTTTGAGCCAGTTCCCCTTAGAGAAGATCCCACCAGAGGAGTGAAGATTGAAGCAGACCTTCCCGACTTGGAAAAAAGGCAACTCAAAGCTTGCCTAAGGGAGAATGTTGATTTGTTCGCCTGGAGTGCGGTCGACATGCCCGGTGTTGTACCCAAAATTTGCCCTCTTTTTTCTCAAGAAATTTTCTCACAAGGATTTTCAAAAGGGCAAGTTTGCACAAGTACAAATTGGATTTTTAGCTCTCAAGCATCAAATCAAAGAAGGGTAAGTTAACCTTGATTCATAAGCTTTGATTGGGCATCTAAAATCCTTCGAGCGAGCTTTTGTTTCAAAGTCTTCGATTGGGCATTTGGTCCCCTTCGATCAAGCTTTGGTCCACTAGCTTCGATTGAGCATCGAGCCCCCTTCGATCATGCTTTGATTCATAAGCTTCAATTGGGTATTTGGTCCCCTTTGATCAAGCTTTAGTCCACCAGCTTCAATTGAGCGTTGGATCCCATTCAAGCAAGCTTTGGTCCACAAGCTTCATTTAGGAATATGCCCCCTACAGGTTTACTTCGATTCACCAGCAGTAGCCCCCTACAAGTTTGCTTCGATTCACTAGCAGTAGCCTCCTACATACTTGCTTTGATTCACAAAGCAGTGGCCTCTTGCATGTTTATTTTGATTCACAAAGTAGTGGCCTCCTGCATGCAAGCTTTGTTTGAGCATTGGTCTTTTACGTGTCTGCTTCAATCCACAAGGCAAAAGGCCCCTTCAACTTTCCTTCGATACACAAGGTAAAAGGCCCCTTCAACTTGCCTTCAATCCACTAGGAAAAGGCCCCTTCAACTTGCCTTCAATCCACTAGGCAAAGTCCCCTTCAACTTACCTTTGATCCACAAGGCAAAAGGCCCCTTTAACTTGCCTTCGATCCACTAGGAAAATGCCCCTTCAACTTTCCTTCGATCCACTAGGCAAAGGCCCATTCAACCTGCCTTCGATCCACTAGGCGAAGGCCCCTTCAACCTGCCTTCGACCCACAAGGCAAAAGGCCCCTTCAACTTGCCTTCGATCTACAA